GCTCGGTTCGCAATAAACAACTGCACCTCCCAGTCGCGAACCATTTCAACTCCCCCTCCCATTCCTCAGACGACATGTCCATCCTGGGCCTCCTGCAGTGCCAGAACGATGCCACCCGAAGGTTGCAGGAACAGCAACTCATATTCCGCTTGGGAACCCTGCAGCCCAATGGTATCAATGTGGATTTCACAAGTTTCAAAATCTCCCCTCCCCCTACCGCATCCCAAAACCAGTCCAGCTCGTCCCTGCCTCCCTAACCTGTTCTTCCTCCCACCTATCCCCTCCTCCCACCTCAAGCCGCACCTCCATCTCCTACCGACCAACCTCATCCGGCCCCCTTGACCTGTCCGTCCTCCCTGGACTGACCTATCCCCTTCCTCACTCCCCACCTACACTCACCTTTACTGGCTCCATCCCCGCCTCTTCGACCTGTTTGTTTCCTCTCCTCTATCCATCTTCTATCCGCCTCCCACTCTCTCCCTATTTATTTCAGAACCCCCTTCCCCTCCCCCTTTTCTGATGAAGGGTCTAGGCCCGAAACGTCAGCCTCTCTGCTCCTATGATGCTGCTTGGCCTGCTGTGTTCATCCAGCCCTGCACTTTGTTGTCTAGCAAGATAATGGAGTTGAGAAAGTGTGACATACATGATGAGGGCAGCCTGCAGTGTGATGCCAGCAAGACAGATCCTGGTGCACCCCTAGTGCAACAAGGACAACAAGCTGTATTTGGATCCAGTGCGTTAATGCAAACGGAATGAATATATGCTCAGATCAAGATGTTGCCTGGGCGACTGCCTTTGCTTGTGATCATTTTCATTAATACCTAATTGGAAGAGACAAGATCAGTTTGAGTCTAGCCACAAACTGCTTCAAACTATTTTGCATAAGCCACTGCTATTTACTTCAAAGTATCTGCATAGCATGTTAGCCTGGTCACAGAGATACCATGTGAATGTGACATACAAGCAAAGGAAACAGATGTACATCACTGACCAAGCTGCTGATGGCAGATCTCCTTTTTATGAATAATGTAGAGGATGCTGTGAGAGAGTGGATATAGAAGATTTCACAATGTTATATGAAGTCTGTTCTGGAAGTCATCAGCTCAGCAAAGATATTGAACCTATTTTTCCTAATCAACCTGTTCAAAGATGTTATTATACACCTCTGGAGCAGGTGGGACTTGAACCTGGGCCCCTCAGTTAAGGGGAAGGGACACTACCACTGCAATGACGCTGAACCTTAAATGCCTTACTCAGATCTGCCGAACTCCCCAACAAGGCACAAATCTGCAAGTGTTGCACGAAATCGAGATGAAAGGATGGCCTGAAAGCATCAAAAACACTCCTGTAGTCTCAAAAGTATATTGGGCACACAGATGAATTGACAGCTTGAGGTGGCATATTGTACAAAGGAAATATTCGTTATCCCGAAGGAGTTAAGAGAGATGCTGAAGTGCATCCATGCAAGTAACAAGGAATTGAGTCCAGTCTGAGCGAGGCAAGAGATTTGCTGTCCTGGCCAAACATGAGTAATAAAATCAAGAGCCATATCAGTTAGTGTAGTTCTCATAATGAGTACTGATCTAAGCAAGCTAGAGAGCCCCTGATGACGCACGACATCCCAGATATACCGTGGGTGTAGCTAGGAATAGATCTGTTCGCACTCACAGGAACTGATTACCTTGTCATGCTAGACACTGATTCTGACTCCTGGGAGATGGATCAGCTGATTTGAACCACCGCTGCTGAGACTGGGATGACCAATAATGATCCTCAGTACCCGAATGAAGAATTCCAGCTCTTTTGTAAAGAATTGGAAAATACAATATCATACTTCATCTACTGTATCCCTGGTTAGATGAAAAGGCTGGGGCATTGGTGAAAATCAGCGAAGGTAAGCCAGTCCTTGCATAGAGAAGCATACCAACAGAAACCATGAAAAATAGTCCTGTACAAACAAAGACTGTCATGCCATACCAAAGTTATTCCTCCAATAGCAAAAACATTGCTGAAGCCAGGTGTGCATTTCAACATTAAATTAAATTTGACTTTCAGCTAATTCATCTTCTTACCAAATTGTCGAACCATTTTCCCTGTTGAGCAGTGGAGAGCCAGTCAGAGTACAAACGTTCAGTGTTGTTAACAAGGATCAGACCAATTGGTAACTTGGGACCTGTGTCCAATGGTTATCACATCAATTGTACATTTTCGAACTGAGCAGCCAGATTTACCATTGCAACTGAAGACCGACACACATGACTAGAGAAACTGTTTGTTCGTAGGTGGCTGATTAATAAGATATGAACTTGCCATGAGACAGATCAACCATCACTCCCAGAAGTTTGTAACACCCTGACAATGGAAGTGGAAATACAATTGTTGCCACAACATCAGCAAGTGACATGGAAGCCATAGTTGATGGAGCTGGAACGTCATCCAAGTGAATAGCCAATGATACCGCAAATATGTACCATTGAGAGGTTGACATGATTTAAAGGGTTTGCAATGCATGTGCAGAGACAGATGAGAATGACAAACTGCTAATGTATGACAAGAATCATGTGCAGAGCAGGTAACCTGGGTAACTGACTATATAAATGATATGTGCAATATTTTTTTTCTTTTTGTTTGGAAAGCGGTATGTTTGGGATAGAAATACTGTACTTATGTGCTTCCTGGCTAGATATAATCATGTGATCTCTGTCATAAGGCACTCACTTCAGGTATCTTATTTACAAGGTTGCCTTTATAGAACTTGGAATAGAGCAGAACATTTGTCTCGAGTTTGTAACAATACTAAAGCATCGTTTGACTGAGGGTAGCATCAAAAGAGCCCTGAAAAAATCACATTCAGTGGGAATTGGGGAACACTTCAATTGGATGGACGAAGCACAAAGGAAGATGGTTGTGGTTGCTGAAGCCTAATTGTCCCAATCCCAGTTCATTGCTGTAGGAGTCTTCCGGTAAATATTTTCTAATAAACCTGTTCGGAAATGTTATTACTCTGGAGCAGGTGGGACTTGAGCCCACGCCTCCCGGCAAAGAGGCAGGGACACTACCACTGCACCACAAGAGCCCCCAGTCTTCAGGGTAGTGTTCTACGACCAACCATCTTCAGCTGCTCCACTAATGACTTGACTTCTTAATAAGATCAGAGTGGAGATGATTGCACAATATTTAGTCCCATTTGTAACTTATTGGATGCGGACTGAAAGGTGGCAAGTAATACCTGTAAGAACATAAGAACTAGGAGCAGGAGTAGGCCATCTGGCCCCTTGAGCCTGCCCCGCCATTCAATAAGATCATGGCTGATCTTTTTGAAACTCAGCTCCACTTACCCACCCGCTCACCATATCCCTTAATTCCTTTACTGTTCAAAAATTTATCTAGCCTTGCCTTAAAAACATTCAGTGAGGTAGCTTCAACCGCTTTACTAGGCAGGGAATTCCACAGATTCACAACCCTTTGGGTGAAGAAGTTCCTCCTGACCTCAGTCCTACATCTGCTTCCCTTTATTTTGAGGTTATGCCCCCTAGTCCTAGTTTCACCTGCTAGTGGAAACAACCTCCCTGCCTCCACCTTACCTACTTCCTTCATAATCTTTATATGTTTCTATAAGATCTCCCCTCATTCTTCTGAATTCCAGTGAGTATAATCCCAGCCTACTCCGTCTTTCCTCATAATCCAACCCTCTCATCTCTGGAATCAACCGAGTGAATCTTCTCTGCACCCCCTCCAGTGCTTGTATATTTCTTCTCAAGTAAGGAGACCAAAACTGCACACAGTACTCCAGGTGTGGCCTCACCAGGACCCTATACAGCTGCAGCAAAGCCTCCCTATTTTTAAACTCCATCCCTCTAGCAATGACAGACAAAATTCCATTTGCCTTTTTAATTACCTGCTGCATCTGCAATCCTACTTTTAGCGATTCATGCACAAGGACACCCAAGTCCCTCTGCACAGCAGCGTGCTGCAATTTTTTACCATTTAAAACATAGTTCATTTTGCTGTTATTCCTACCAAAATGGATGACCTCTCGCTTATCAACATTGTACTCCATCTGCCAGACCTTTGCCCACTCACTTAGACTATCTATATCCCTCTGCAGACTTTCAGTATCTTCTGCACACTTTGCTCTACCACTCACCTTAGTGTCATCTGCAAATTTTGACACGCCACACTTAGTCCCCAACTCCAAATCATCTATGTGAATTGTAAACAATTGCGGTCCCAACACTGATCCCTGAGGCACACCACTAGCCACTGACCGCCAACCAGAATAACATCCATTTACCCATACTCTTTGTTTTCTACTAGTCAACCAATCCTCTATCCATGCCAATACATTACCTCTAATACCATGCAACTTTATCTTATGTAGCAGCCTTTGGTGTGGCACCTTGTCAAATGCCTTCTGGAAATCCAGATACACTACATTCACAGGTTCCACATTGTCCACCATGCAAGTAATGTCCTCCAAAGAATTCCACCACATTAGTTAAACATGACCTACCCTTCATGCACCCATGCTGGGTGTTCCCAATGGGACAATTTATATCCAGATGTCTTGCTATTTCTTCCTTAATGATAATTTCGGTAGTGGGGAAAACACTTGAATCTATTTGCTATTTTCCCCATCACCTCTTTAGTACCGTGGGATGCATTTCATCAGGGCCAGGAGACTTGTCTGCCTTTAGCCCCGTTAGCTTGTCCAGCACTGCCTCCTTGGTGATAATGATAGTTTCTAGGTCCTCACCTGCTATAACCTTCTTACCATCAGTTTTCGGCATGTTATTTGTGTCTTCCACTGTGAAGACCGACACAAAATAACTCTTTAATGCCTTGGCTATTTCCTCATTCCCAGTTATTAAATTGGCCTTCTCATCCTCTAAAGGACCAATGTTTAACTTCGCCACTCTTTTACGATTTATGTATTTATAGAAACCTTTGCTGCCTGTTTTTATATTCTGAGCTAGTTTACTCTCATAATCTATCCTACTTTCCTTTATAACTTCTTTTGTGGCTTTCTGTTGGCCTTTAAAGATTTCCCAGTCTACTAGTTTCCCACTACTCTTTTTTTGCTTTTTTGTATGGATTTTTTTTCAATCTGATACTTTCCTTTATTTCCTTAGGTATCCATGGCTGACTATCTCTTTTCCTACAGCTCTTCCTTATCACTGGAATATACTTCTGCTGAGTACTGTGAAAAATCATTTTGAAAGTCCTCCACTGTTCCTCAATTGACCCACCATAAAGTTTTTGCTCCCATTTTACCTTACCTAACTCCTCCCTCATCCCATCATAGTCTCCTTTGTTTAAGCCCAGGACATTGGTACTGGATTTAACCTTCTCACGCTCCATCTGTATTTTAAATTTGACCATACTGTGATCACTCCTTCCAAGAGGATCCCTAACTGTGAGATCATTAATTATTCCTGTCCCATTACATAGGACGAGATCGACGATAGCTTGCTCCCTCGTAGGTTCCATTACATATTGTTCAAGGAAATTATCGTGGATGCATTCTATGAACCCCTCCTCAAGGCTGCCATGACTGACCTGGTTTGACCAATCGATATGTAGATTAAAATCCCCCATGATAATTGCTGTACCATTTTTGCATGCATTAGCTATTTCTATGTTTATTGCCTGCCCTACCACGATGTCATTATTTGGTGGCCTATTAGACCACACCTATCAGTGACTTCTTCTCCCTGCAATTCCTAATTTCCACCCAAATGGATTCAACCTTTTGTTCAGTAGAACCTATATCATCTCTCACTACTGCCCTGATGTCATCCTTAAAAATCAGAGCGACACCACCTCCCTTATCTTCCTGTCTGTCCTTCCAAACAGTTTGATACCCCTGGATATTTAACTCCCAGTCATGACCATCCTGCAACCATGTCTCTGTAATGGCCACTAAATCATACCCATTCGCCACGATTTGCGCCATCAACTCATCCACCTTGTTTCGAATGCTCCGAGCATTCAGATAAAGTGCCCTTATGCCAGTTTTTGCATCTTCTTTTTGAGTCCTATCACTTCCATTACTAACAGCTCTTGAGTTCTCCTTCCCTTTAACCTTTTTCCTAATTTTCAATGGAGTTGAAGCTTCCTCGTCACCTGCTAACCTGCTGCTTTGCCTTCTATTTATTGTCATACTCCCTGTACGCTCACTCCCACCGCTCCCCTGCTTCCCCCTCCCACTTACTAGTTTAAAGTCCTATTGACCACCCTATTTACCCTTTTCACCAGAACACTGGACCCAGCCCTGTTCAGATGGAGTCCATCCCAGCGGTATAGATCCCTCATGTCCCAGAACTGATGCCAGTGCCTCGTGAAAAGGAAACCCTCTTTCCCACACCACTCTTCTAGCCACGTGTTTACTTACCTGATCCTCGTCTCCCTGTGCCAATTTACACGTGGCTTGGGCAGCAATCCAGAGATTATGACCCTTGAAGACCTGTTTTTTTAATTTTGTTCCTAGCTTTTCATAATCCCGAAACAGGTCTTTTTTCCTAGTCCTTATGTGTGGCATAAGTACCACAAGTACCAGACAATGCCCAACTCCAACAAGTGAGAATTTAACCGTCTCACTTTGACAGTTAAATGTAATTCCCCCAATAACAACATCTTGGAGTTTACCATTGATGAGAAATTGAAGTGATCAGCCATATCGTCCTGACAAGTGTCAGCAACATCTTGTTACTCTCTCATGTGAATTCACTGCAAAAATTGAATAGCTTGTCATAATTTGGTGAAATGGATGGCTTTGGAAAGGAAACGACCGAGTAGCCTGTTTGTCCAGACATTGAACCACACAAATGTAACTGAAAATGCAGGTGAAAGTAGAACACAATCTTTGAAACTATTTACTTCATGCTGAAGACAATTGTAAAATCCGTAAACGTTAATAAAAATTGTTGCTCTCTTTTTTGTTGAATAGGATCAGAAGTCATGTTTCCATTAACGGAGAAGGACAGGAGAGTTGTCCAGATGCTGCTCAGTGCACGATGCTGTCCTCGATGTATACTAAGATTTTGTTCTGTTGGGATTCAGACTACGTACAGGCTTTCACGCAAGGTTTTTGAAATGTCTTATTTTCATTTAAAAATCAACAACATGAGTGGCAAAGCATGACTTTTCTAAAAAAAATATGATGTTTGAAAACCTGGAAAATGCTGATTATATGTTCCACAAGGATCGGTGCTGGGTCCACTGCTTTTTGTCGTCTATATAAGTGATTTAGATGTGAATGTAGGAGGTATGGTTAGTAAGTTTGCAGATTGTACGAAAATAAGCAGTGTAGTAGACAGCGAAGAAAATTATCTCTGAGTAGAACAGGACCCTGATCAGATGAGCCAATGAGCTGAGGAGTAGCCGATGGAGTTTAATTTAGATAAATGTGACGTGTTGCATTTTGTAAGGAAAATTAGGGCAGGACTTGCACAGATAGTGTTAGGGCCCTGGGACGTGTTGCCAAACATTGGGGTGCAGGTGCATAGTTCCTTGAAAGTGGAGTTGTAGGTAGACAGAGTAGTGAAGAAGGCATTTGGCATGCATGCCTTCATTGTATATTAAGTACAGGAGTTGCGATGTCATGTTGCAGCTACACAAGACATTGTTGAGGCCACTGTTAGCATACTGCATACAATTCTGGTCGCTCTTCTACAGGAAGGATGTTGTTAATCTTTTCTGTACCCTCTAAAGTTTTACAAAGATGTTGACAAGACTGGAGGGTTTGAGTTAGAAGGAGAGGCTGAATAGGCTGGGGCTTTTTTTCCCCTAGAATGTCAGAGACTAAGGGGTGACCTTGTAGAGGTTTATAAAATAATAAGGGGCATGGATGTGGTAAATAGCCACAATCTTTTTCCTAGGGTAGGGGAGTCCCAAACTAGAGGATATAGGTTTAAGGTGAGAGAGGAATGATTTTAAAAAGGACCTGACTCTTTCATGCAGAAAGTGGTACGTGTATGGAATGAACTGCCAGATGAAGTGGTAGAGGCTGGTACAATTATAACATTTAAAAGGCATCTGGATGGGTATATGAATAGGAAGGGTTTAGAGAGATAGGGGCCAAATGCTGGCAAATGGGACAAGGTCAAATTGGGGTATCTGGTTGGTGTGGATGAGTTGGACTGAAGGGTATGTTTCCATGCTGCATGACTCTATGACTCTATATAAACTTTATCAAATAAAAAATTTTTATCCTCCTAGTACAATTTCCCCACAGCTCTAACCCCTCCTACCTCTAACTTCTAACCATAGCTGGTGGCACTCTCAGCCATCTGGCCTTCAACAGTCACAAGTTCCTCCCTAAAACCCTTTTATCTTGGAGCATTTTTTCTCAACTTCTAAATCATCTTAATAACCTACTTCTTCAGCATCAATTTTCACCTCCAGCTCCTCCTCTCAGAATCCATACAGTGTGAAAGCAGGCTATTAGATCCATCTGACCCTCCGAAGAGCATCCTACCCAGGCTCACCCTAACCCTGTAACACGGTGTTTCCCATGGTAACCCACCTGGCCTGCACATTCCTGGACACTGGGCAATTTAACTTGGCCAAACCTGCACATCGTTGGACTTTGGGAGCAAACCCAAGCACCCGGTGGAAACCCATACAGATGGAGGGAGAATACCTGTGCAAACTCGACACAGTCGCCCGAACGCAGAATCAAACCGGGGTCCCTGGCGCTGTGAGGCAGCAGTGCTAATCACTCCGCCACCGTCCTGCCCAGGGAGATACCCAACTACGATACAGTGGCACATTTTGTTATGTCAAAGGTGCTACACAAGTTCAAGAAACTAACAAATACACTGTTAATGGAATTTCCTCAATTCCTGTATGCAGAACTGGCTGGAGATTTGCCACCCACGCTGAAGAGCATTTGGTGTGTGAAGTCATGGCTCTTCATTGAATTGCATTGAATCATTCATTCCAAAGTATATTGCTGCAAAACCTAAATCAATCACCTTGAAAATGCAATGTACTTTAAAGTCAGCTTGTAAATCTTTCCTGCTTAAAATAAAGATGCAACATGTTATCTGTTTGAATAGTGACTCATCTACTCGCTCTAGCTTCTGAAGCTTAGCTAATTGTTTAAGCCCTCCATAAAAATGCAATTTGTTCTGGCAGAAACCCCCTCCCACCCTCAAATCTCTGCATTAGGAGGAGGCTGAAAAACATGTGAATTACTGAACAGACAAAAAAACGACCCCAGCAAACCGAGGCATGTAAATAACAAGCAGGACAGAACACTGACGCTTTATTGGAGGTGCACTGACAGGGTGATAAACCATTTGCAACCAAACCCACTGGCTCAGTGAGCATGTCTACAACCTCATCCACAACTCGAGCTACAAATCTTCTCAAAAACTTTAGACACAAAGCAAGTTCCATCAAATTAACAATTTTTTAAGCTTCCTGATAGTCACATGATCCAGCGATAATGGACTTATGCATTCATGAACAATATACCCAGACATGACACTAGGGAGGTTCAGTGATTGGGAGCCCTACAATCCATAGGTCTTGTTCTCCCAAGCATGTAACCGTGACCGCAAGTGCTGTCTCATAACTTGTGCACAGTATCACACTGTATAGGCAAGTCAAAGTGTTTGGTTTTAAGGAGCAGCTCAGCAAAGGGTCATAAATTGGGGACATCGAAGGTGAACATTCTAGATTCTGCGTCCTCGACATATGAAGGCATACCACAAAAATGATGGTGATGAAGAATTCAAATGGAAAGTCAGCTAGAAATTGGAGTCCAGCGATCTCAAATAGTTGTAAAGTTGGAGGGATGTTGGAGAGATGTTGGAGATGAGGAGAAGTGAGGCCTTGAAAGGATTTGGACATGAAGATAGCAGACTTAAAATTGAGGTGTTGCTGGACTATGAAGTAGCATAAAAGTGATCAGAAGGGTGAAAGGTGAGGAAATCTTTGTGCAACTTAGAACACAGGAACAGAGTTTTAGATGAGCTCCAGTTAATGGAAGGTGGGGCATCAGTTAGAAAGTACTGGGAAAATTGAGTGTGGAAGTCATAAAGACCCGGATAAAGGTTCAACAGCAGATGAGCTGAGCAGAAATGAAGGCAGGTATATGGCCATGATTGAAAAGGTGAGGTCAGAAGTTTAGCTGGTGGTCAAATAGTACACGAAGATTGTGAACAGCGCAGCTGACGAGATATGTTAAGGTCAAAGGATTATACACTTAGAAACTTAAATACATTGTTACAAAGTTAACTTTAATACGCTCGTTGCATTTAGTCAATTGCTTTAAAAAGACTACTTTAAAAAAACTGTCCTCTAATCAACCTATTCAGAGATGTTATCACACACCTCTGTCACAGTGGTAGTGTCCTGAACTCTGGACCAGGAGGCCAATGATAATGGACTTGTGCATTTGTGAACAATACACCTAGATGTGACACGAGAGGTTCAGTGATGGGGAGCTTTTCAAGTCATAGGTCATGTTCTTCTCAAGCGTTCTACCATGACCACAAATGCTATCTCATAACTTTTGTGTATTAGGTTCAAGTCCCACCTGCTCTAGAGGTGTGTAATAACATCTCTGAACAGGTTGATTAGAAAAATAGGTTAAAAAATATGTTAAACACCTCTGGGAAGGTGGGAATTGAACCCAGGCCTCCTGGCTCAAAGGTAGCGATACTGCACCACAAGAACCCCTTACTATGTAGTTAGGGCCTGTCTATAACCACACAACTCCTTTCTTTACTACAGCTATCCCCTTGTATTGGTGCATTTATGATTCCTTGATAAGGGCTAACAAACTGTGGAGTGTACCATCATTGTCTTAATCAACCTTGGAAGTCTGGATCTGAAACAAAACAGATCCCTCAGTCTTGCATCTTTCACTCTGAAAGATGAGGTTGTAGTCTTCACTCTGCAGTCCCATGGTGCATTTCTTTGTTAAATTAAGCTAAACAAAGTCACATAGTGTTAGAGTGCTAAGCTATGCATAGGTAACACTTAATTGGAATAATGTTTCATTTATCAATCAATGTTACTTTTAGTTTAGTTACCATCACTTAATAAACCATAAAATGTTAGTTTACCCACTAATCACCCAGTCAAGAGCCCACAAGAATCCCAACTGGGTTTGGTTGACGTTCTCCCCATGTGGCTGGGCTCCCAGCAGGTCAATGTCAACAATGGCAGGTTGAGGCATTAATTCATAGAATCCCTACAGTGTGGAAACAGGCCCTTTGGCCCAACAAGTCCACACCAACACACAGAGCATCCCACCCAGACCTATCCTCCTAATCTACACATCCCTGAACACTATTGGCAATTTTAGCATGGCCAATCCACCTAGCCTGCACACCTTTAGATTGTGGGAGGAAACCGGAGCACTCGGAGGAAATCCATGCAGACACAGAGAGAATGTGCAAACTCCACACAGACAGTCGCCCGACGGTGGAATCGAACCCAGGTCCCTGGCGCTGTGAGGCAGTAGTGCTAACCCTGAGCCACCATGCCGTAATTGCTGACTTCAGGATCTCGATTGGCAACAGGTCCCCTCTGGCTGACTTAAATAAAGTGGTGGAATCCTCACCTCTTCCTCATTATATACCTCATCCCAAAAGTTGCCACAGGCATTAGATTTGATTTTGCCTGTGTTTGTCCTTTCACCCGGCCACTCACCCAACCCTTCCACCCTCTCAATGTTGTGCCATCAGCTCAGAGTCTCATGCAGCATTGTGGAATTTAATTCAAATATAAAACAGATGCAACATTTTGCAATGATACTAATTGATCGAGTGGTCAGATGTTGTATAAAGTAAATCTGAAGAGGCACACTGTCCGCTTTTCCAAATAATTTAAATAAGGCGTCACAAACAGAACGTTGTATTTAAAAATGTCTGTGTTTCAGGAATTGTTCACAGAGCTTCACAAATTCTTGAACGGTGATGAAGATAAACCTAAGGAAGTAGAATATGGTCAACCACCTTGTAAGAAGATGCGGTTGCAGGATTCTGAAAAGAATGATTCCGATTCAGAACAGAATGGAGCAGTCAAATTGCTATCCAGTGAATGTATACTTCCTGGTGATGAAGTTCAAACTTGCTTTGTGTGTCTGGGAATTCTACAAGACCTATGTGAAATGGATTTTGTAAAAAAGGTACAATGTCTGCTTTATTCAGATCTCGCTTGTATAAATTAACCTTCAATCTGTTATAAGCCTCTTTTAGATGTCCGATGCTGATTAAACTGTTCAAGTTTTGCATGGTGAGGTAAATCATAATTAGCAAGGAATTTTAATATTTTAGAAAGGTAAGGTCATGCATTAATTTGGTTTCTTATTTGTTTCTAATTTTCTGTCATTAGTGACCTTAATAAGGAAGGCAAATGGAATTTTGGCATTGATTGCTGAAGGAATAGAGCATAAAAATTGGGAGTTGTTGCTGTAACTGTACAAGGTATTGGTGAGACCACAGTTGGGAGTATTGCAGACAGTTTTGGTCCCCTTACTTGAGGGATGTAGTTGCATTAGAGGCAATTCAAAGGAGGTTCACTAGATTGATTTCAGAGATGAGGGGTTTGAATCATGAAGAGAGATTTAGTAGTTCAGGCTCTTATTCCCTAGAGTTTACAAGAATGAGAGGAGATCTAATTGAGATTTACAAGATGTTAAAAGGGATTAACAAAGTAAATGGAGAGGGCGTTTCCTTGCGGGGCAATCTAGAATGAGAGGTACTAGTTTTAAGAAAAAACAGATTTAAGGCTGAAATGAGAAGAATTTACTTTTCTCAAAGGGTCATGAATCTGTAGAATTCACAACCCCAGAGCTTGGTGAACGCTGGGATACTGAGTAAATTTCAAGAGGAGATAGACAGATATGTTGACATGTACTTGCAGAAAATTCAAATGGTACATTCATTAATAAATTGTGGATGCACATCTTTCAAATGGTTGAAAAGGAAAACAGTGTTCTTCTTTACATAGCTGGCTGATATGGGTCAGTGCAGCACTTTACAGCATTTGGCGAACTGAGCTTGAATCAAGACCACAGTCAGCTTTCTGTACTGCCATAAGCATTGTAGATCTCTCGCTCTTGCTGTCTCCCCGGCTTGCTCCATAGTCTGGAGGAAAATTCCCAGCTCCACAAACCCCAAATTCCCAGGACTGTTGAATTTTGGTTCCGGGTACATGGTTGATAACTCAAGTTAGGCCTAGCAGTCCTTAAAAGAGCTCAGAGGTAGCCACAGCTCTCTGGTCTGGAGGCTAGTTGTCCAAAATGCAAAGCTCAATGATCTGTCATCTTTGTACAAAAAAAACACAGTGAATCAAAAAAGAAGCTTGGCCGTCACTCCACAGTAGTCCCATCTATGACAATCCATGCCTCTCCATGTCTTCCACCCATTCACCATAGTTCTTCATACCCTCCATGCCAACATATGCCTTTCTACCCATTGTATGTAGCCTTCATGATATCATCTTGCCATCAAAACTGCATTAGACAGAGTATGATATCAAGGAGCAAAAGGGAATCAATGAGAACCAGTGGGGGTGGGGAGTGCAAACTTTCCGCTGGTTGGAGTCATACCTGGCACCTGGAAAGAGTGTTATGGTTGTTGGAGGTCGGTCATCTCAGCACCAGAACATCTCTACAGGAGTTCCTCGGGCCTGATCATCTTCAGCTGCACCATCAAAGATCTCTCCTCAATTACAAGGTCAGGAGTGTACAGTTAACAGCAAACATCCCCAGTGTTCAGCACCATTCCTTAAATACTGAAGCAGACCATGTTCAAGTGTAACAAGACCTAACAGTGTCCAGGCCTGGGCTGACAAGTGGCAAATAATGTTCACCCCACACAAATGCCAGGCAATGACCACCTCCAATAAGAAACAATCTGACCACCGCTCCTTGCAATTCAATGACGTTACCACCACTGAATACCCCCACTATCAGCATCCACGGGATTACCGTTGATCAGATACTGAACTGGACTCTCCATATAAACACAATGGCTACAAGAGTGGGTCAGAGACTAGAAATATCGCAGTGAGTAACACACTTCCTGACTCTCCTGACTATAAGGCACAAGTCAAGATTGTGATGGAATACTCCCTATTTGCCTGGGTGAGTGTGGTTCCAACAACACTGAAGAAGCTTAACACCATCCAGGACAAATCAAACCACTTGACTGGCACCACATCCACAAGCAACAACTCCTCCACCACAGTTGCTCTTTAGTAGCAGTATTTACAATCTACAAGATGCACTGCAGAGATTCACCCAAGATTCTTAGACAACACCTTCCAAACCCACAACCACTTCCATCTAGAAGGACAAGGGCAGCAGATACATGGAAACACTACTACCCTGCAAGTTCCCCTCAAAGACATTCACCATCCTGACTTGGAAATATATTGCCATTCATTCAATGTCATTACGTCAAAATCCTTGAAATCCCTCCATAATGGCACTGTGGTCTATCTACAGCACATGTCCTGCAGCAGTTCAAGAAAGCAGCTTACCACCGACTTCTCAGGAGCTACTAGGGATAGGCAATAAATGCTGGCCAACCAATAACTCACTCAGCCCATGAGAGAATAAGAAAAGTAGTGGTGGGGCATGAGCAGCAGATCTGGTGTGGTGTCCCAAATGAGTGTCTAGGACGCATAAGAGGTCACGAAAGGTTAATAGTATTGGAGAAAGAAGTGGATACGGCCATTGGGAACAGATGCTGCACACATTGATGACAGTTGTAGACTATTGGACCCTGAAATAGAAATAGAAAATGCTGGAGAAACGTAGCTGATCTGGTTGCATCTGAGAGAAATTGAGTTAATGTTTTCTATCTAATGACCCTTCATTGGAACAGTTCTGAGGAAGACTCTTTGGACTTGAAACGTTAACTCTGTTTCTCTGGTGTCAGATCTGCTAAATTCTTGAGAACTCCATTTTCTCCAGCTCAACATTGAGAAATTAAAAGTATCGTTACTGCTGTGTTGCAGACTCTTTCCTGTGCCCCTGACAGCTTCCTTGAGCTCACCTAGGTTTTTGGCAACTGTGGCATCCTTTTGACGTTAACTTCAGTTTCAGACCCCAAATCCTTTCAATGTAAAAGGCCACATATTTGAACTTCTGCAACATTTCCTGCTATTGCTTCACTTTTATTTGATTTCCATTTAACGTGGTTCACAGATATTAACGAAAAGCTCCTGGATACCTAAGTATGCATAGATGCTGCTAGGGTGAATAGCCTTCCCTGCATCTCATCAACAGAAACCAGTTATCTGTAAATTTTTTCTTACTTTTTTAATCTAGGCTCACTGTATTCAATGGCTTAATTTTGGATAATTTATCTTGACATTGTTTTTGTCAACAAAGTTTCATGACTTTTATCGGTCCCAATGACCTCCATCTGCTTCACTGATCGCAACAAATTGTAAAATTACTTGTTTTTTTTAATGAGTCGTTACATATGTTGGTTGACTAGACCATATTGGGAAAATTACACGTACAAAAACATGTATAGTTGGTTAACAATGGAAATGATGATTTTGCAGTGAGTCAGTAATGAGGAAAAGAGAAGCAACAACAATAATTAGACTTTGTACACTGTCTTAAAAGGAGGCTGTCTATAAAATAAGAATGGTCAAACTTTAAAGGAGTTGATTGATGGAAAAAAGGCAGTTATTGTTTTAATTTCTCAAGTCTGAATTCTGCAGTGAATGGAAAACTTTTTGTTTTTAGGTGTGTGGTGAAGTGGACTCTGCTGGTTATCATTTTAACAGTCTCGTATTTTCAGTTTCACTGCCTCCCCAGCTCTTAGTCAGAGAGGTGAGTCGTCCGACGTACCTTGGTAAACGTACATTTTTGTTCCATAAAATGTATATCTGAACCTTTTTTACCTCTCCTTGTTAATTGTCTTGACTGAAAATTTGCTCGTCAATCTGTGTAACCTGATACAAAGGTGGCAGGATTGTCTAGGTAATGAACTCTTATCCATTGGAAGGTGATGTGTAAGTCTTCAAACTTTTTGGTCAGTTATCACTCGAGGAGCTTGATGACATCCAAAACAAAGTATCCCGTTTGATTGGCACACTATCCATCATTTTCCATGAGTAACACATAGTTTAAGTGGTTTCTATCCTTCAAAAAGATCCGCTGCAGCAACTGACCAATGCTCTTTGGACAGTAACTTCCAAAGCCCCCAGTCTGTACTGTCCAGAAGAACAAGCACAGCAAATGTGTGGAAACACCACATACATTTTCCCCCTTCAATCACCACACCATCCTGATTTGGAAATATATTGTCGCTCCTTTACTGTCATACATCAAAATCCTGCAGCTCCCTCTGTAACAGTGTTGTAGTTGTACCTGTACTATGTAAACCATTGCAGTTCAACAACATTACTGTCTTCACAAAGGATGAACAGTAAACGCTGAGCATACAGTCAACTCCCACATTCCCTGATTGAATAAAGTGCACTCAGTGCCACATGAACAACGGAACAACAATAGGGCGCTTGGCCCTTCAAGCCTGCTCTGCCATCCAATAAGATCATGGCTGATCTAACTTTAACCTCAACTCTACATTCCTGCATATTCTTGATAATCTTTCATCCCCTTAATAATCAGGGTTTTTCAAAGCCACTCAACCCTCTGTGAGAAAAAAATGTCTCTTCATCTCTGTTTTAAGTGGGTACTCCCTTATTTTTAAATTATCTCTAGTTTTAGATTCTCCCACAAGAGGAAAGTTCTTCGAGCATCCACCTGGTCAAAGTACCCTCAGGATCTTATTTGTTTCAATTAAGTCACCTTTAACTCTTCTAAACTCCCAGAGGTTATCAGGCCTAGCCTGTGTAGACTTCCTCATAAGGCAATCTGCTCATTCCAGGTATTTGTCTAGTAAATCTTCGATGAACTGCTTCCAATGTATTAACATCCTTCCATAAGAATGGTGACCAGTATTGTACACAATACTCCAGATGTGGTCTCACCAATGCCCTGTATAACTGAAGCATTACCTCTCTGCTGTTATATTCAATCCTCCTCACAATAAAACACAACATTTTATTTGTTTTTGTGATTACTTGCTACACCTACATACTAACATTCTGTGATTCATGAGCCAGGACACCCAGATCTCTCTCAACCTCAGAACTCTGCTACCTGCTTTTTTTTATTCTTTCTGCCAAAACTGACTATTTCACACGTCCCCACGTTGTACAGGTCGGGTGTCCCTCATCTGCACGTCCGAAAGCTAAAAAGATCTAAAAACTGAAGGTTTTTAAAGTGTCCTCCTGTATCATCACCAAGCAATTGGACCTGAATGGACCCAAAAGACCTAAAATCCAATGTCCAGGACTATTTCTAAAAGGAGGAAACTTGGAAATAAAACTATAGTACTACGGGGCTTAGGAAAGCTATCAGTGCCTATAAGAATACATACCAGCAACAGCCCATACCTTCAACAGCGGAATGTGATAAAAGTAATTTTAAATCAAGAATAACCTATAGAGTAAATAGGCTATGTCTGAAAACCAAAATTGTCCTATTTCCGAACTAAATTAGTCCCATGGTGTACAGATAAGAAATGCTAGACCTGTATTTCATTTGCTAGAACTTTGCCCACTTGCTCATCCTATCTAGATCCCTTTGCTCGTTAGTTAGCATACCTTTGGTCTTTTCATCCAAATAATTTTGTATAAATTGTAAAGAGCAGTGACCCCTGTGGCACACCACTTGTGACATCCTGTCAATCTGTAAAAAATCTAGATTTTCCATTTGTTTAGTGATTACTTCTCTGATTTCTTCTGGAAAAATTCAATGTATCAAAAGCCTCGATTTATTGCTGCTGCACCCTGCTATATATTTATTTTTGCTGCTCTGTTTTGTAAAATCTGATTTCACATTTAATTACATTGACTGACTGAATTTGTCTGTTCCACTGGTCTGTATCCTTTTTGACGGTTATTAGTTTATATTTTTCTAGATGTTCGCTGATTTTTATCTCGTGACATGAGATGTTTGAGAATAGAGCATAATTTCTTGGGTTCTTCCCTTCTTAAATTTGAACAACAGGTGGCATACTGAACTAGATTTATGAATAAGTTGCCATTTTTCTTATGACCTTCCACTTTCAACAGTTAAGTTTTCTTTCTACTTAAGTATTGACAAATCATTAAATGTAACAAATTAAAAACCTGATTTTGTGAACATCCTGACCTAGTTGGTATCTATTCAGGCAGGGTTTTGTAAATAGTCCTGTTGATAATTACTCTTTTCTATCTCTGCAAATCTTATTCCTGCCAGCCCCAAATGAGGTAAGGCAATGTTAAGATAAGGGAGTGTAACACTTCACTACATCTGTGTCCACATGTCAGCATTAAGCAACACTTGAGTCAGATGCTAAGTTAGGGGCTATACTCAGCAACGTGCTTTAACTTAGATATCAGATAGGCAACTCTTGTCATTAATGTGAATTTTCTTTTTCTTGGACCAGCCATGCTTGTGATCTGAATGAAATTACAGTTTAATGCCAATTAATTAAGGAGAGATTTTGTGTTTTGGATCCATATCCATTGAGAGGAAGCCACAAATACTGTGAACTGGGTGACTGTTAATTCTATATTTACATTCCTTTGTAAGGACAAAATACATCCTAATTTGATAAATCTGAAAATTGGGACTGGATGTTACATTGCATCACCCCAACCCCACCTTCAACACCCCCAAATGTTTTGCGGGGAGAGGGACAAGTGAAATGTCAGGTGGAAAGAGATAGCAGGAACTGCAGATGCTGGAGAATCTGAGATAACAAGGTGTAGAGCTGGATGAACACAGCAGGCCAAGCAGCATCAGAGGAGCAGGAAGGCTGACGTTTCGGGCCTAGACCTTGCTTCAGA